TTAAACGCGAGGATAGCAAAAAGTGCGAAAATTTTGAACTTTTAATAGACAAGAAGATTGCGCGGTGCAAACTCTCGAACCTTGTACAGACCATTTACTCTTTAAAATACTGTGCATCCTGTTAAGGTGCAAAACCACGTATTTCCTTTCTGCCGTGCTAAGGTAAAACGCGGTATGAGCCTTCAGGTGTTGCCCAATTTCCTTTGATAAAACACAAATTTCCTGGTAAACTAATGAATATTTTTCTCCCAATCTTTCAGATGATTTTGAATGCAATTTCACCTAGAGCCCCTAAAAATTTCAAAGAAAAATATTCTCAACTTTCCTTAAAAATAAGCATTTTATCGAAGGAAATTTGTCAACTCCCGAATGTTCATACGGCGTTCTTCCCCAGCACGGCAGCTTTGTGGTGTTTCAAACTTTCCGCTCTTGTTTTATCTTTTTATGAAAAACAAACCAACTTTGAGGTATGATTTTTACTCGGAGTATATTCTGCTCACAGAGAGGGAAAATCATCGAATTTTTCAATAAATTACGTTGACCGAGTTTCCTACGAAAAAATAAAACTTGATAGGAAGTCTTCAACGCTGTGAATGAAGATACGTTGTTTCGCTTTTTGCTATCGATATATGCATGGATCGTATATGCAGATCAGTCCTAATTTTTGTATTGGCTGATCACACGCATTTTAATGTAGTGGTTTTCTTAGTCTTGGTTTTAATTTTTTATTTGTGTTTTAGCGGTCACTAAAGGCTCGGGTGACCAGCCAAAACGTCCTGCATATTGTTTTTTGATTTTAGCCTTGTTTCCCTGTGATTTTTGTATTTTTGTCGTATACGTATGGATTTATATGATGCGTAACTTACGTGAATAGGTAGCTTAGTTGCTGTTCGTCGTAATCAATTAACTTACTAACAAGATAGTTAATTAATTACGCCATAATGACTAACATACGTGGCGTTTTTGAGACAGCCACATTTAAGTTGTTTAAGATACAACCTAAATAGAACATTTTTGTGAATAACCCATATGTTTTAGAATGATTTCTATGTGTGGATTACGTAGAATTGTATGTCCGAGAGACAACAGCAATTTTGATCGATTCTTAATAATTTTGTTCAATTTTTAACATCCTTTAATTTTTCTATCATACTTTAATAAAAGTTTTTCCATGGATTACTTTCTTTCTTTCTATTTTTGCGTAAGCAGAGGGGAATATTTGAAAAAGCATATAAAACAAGTCATAAAAAATAAATAAAAATTATATTTTAATTATTTTGAACTTTACAAGTAGGTACTTAACGCTAGGCTGTGTTGGCTTGAATATAATAAATTCACCAAAAAGGAATCGAATTTACATCTTCTACAGCTAAATTTGGGACCTCAAATGTACATTAAAATGCACGTTTGTTTTTGTAAAATAAAGAAGAATTTCTTGAAGAGCCAGGAATGATTAGACAAATTTCGTTAGTTTTAAAATAATGCACGTTATTTGAGATAGATGACCTATTATCATCATTTTCTTTTAAAAAAATTTAAATTTGTCATATTTATTGCACATTATTGTTATTAATCAAGAGTACCGTAAGCCTTGGTATAAGTTTAATACGCAAGAAGCAAAAGTGGTTCTATTGCAACCACGTGGGTTAGAGCCTTATAATTGACTCATACAAATGAATTACATCTTGCAATTAGGACCCACTGTTTCTGGCTCATTTGAGAAACAACTTACACATGCCATTGATTTCTCTATGCAGACACGTGCTTTTATGGAAGAGCCAGAGATAGTGGTTCCTTCCTACAAAATGTAATTCATATATTATTACTCTACAGACTAGGAAATAAACTGGTAATGAGGCTCATCAGTGGTGTTGACAAATTTCTCAGAAATTGGCAGTTCTAATGATATGTAAAAACAAACTTAATATACTTAAAAAGTGTAATTGGTTGCTTAAAGTGCATGTTCCTTAACGGATTGGTAGATGCTCACTCTCCAATACTTGTTTAAGTATCACGAGTGTGAGTAAAAGTTTGGTGATGAGACCAAAATGATTCGATCGGTAACAGCTAAACGAATATTGGTTTTCCTGGTAACAGATTCTGAATGTTAACCTCGTAAAAAATTGCACATTGATTTTTTTTAAAAAAATTAAGTCGAATGTAAACTAGAGGAGTGGAAGGGGAACAAAAAATGTTTACGATTTTTGTGAGAGCGAAAATTCAACTTATAGCAAATAGTAGTTTCACGCAACATGTGTGTACAATGGAGGTTTCCAGTTTAGATGTGTAATATATTTTCAAAAGCCGGTTACATAAGCTCTTAAATGCAAATGAATTATTGTTAAGTTTGTACAAAGGTATCTTGGACGTAGTATTTACAATATTTGGAAAATAAACAATGACGCTCAGTGCAATTGACCTCTTTTTTCTTTTCAAAGGACCTGCGCCTCTTAATCAGAGAAAAATGACAAGGGTTAAATATCAGCATCAGTTTCAATCATAAATGAGATGAATGGACATTGAATGAATGTTTCTAATGATGCAAGTACAGAAAAGAAAAATCGATGACTGAGCAGCTTAACATCTTCGAAAATATACCCTCTAAAATCGTTTATTTATAGTCTTGGGCGATGATTTCGAATGTTGCCCGTAAACGGAAAATATTCATGGCCATTATTTGGTGGAGAATTTTCTCAATCATAGGGGATAAAGACACATGGCACTCAGCTTTTGAAAGAAAAATATCATTTTTCAGCTTCTTGTAAAATTTTATGGCATGATGAGTGTAGTGTTTTAGCAGTACATTATAATAGCTCTATGGTTTGACTAGAGGCTGCTCATTCACGATTTTCCGTATTCCACCCTCCTTTCTGAGAATGTTACCTAACTGGCTAGAATGATAAGGACACAGTCTTAGTGTGCAGGTATGCAAAGAGTCAATGCACCTGAGCGCATTACTGTGAGACAAAGGAAGTTATTTGCTCGTAATGGCTTTATAGCCTCTCGCTTTGGATATCTTGGTTTTTTTTAGGACCGAGAGACTCCTAAATTTTTACCGCTATAGTTACAAATTTGAAAAATATTTTAAATTAAATATGTAGAATTTTGATTTTTGATTCCAAAACTGGAGGGGTATCTTCCTTTTCCTCCATTTACAAAAAATTGCACGTTCCCTCTTTTATCAGGAATATTATCACATAGATGCCATAATTAGAGCTTAAATGTATTTTGGTGATCTTCTGTGGAAAACTAATGATTTCAACTTAGAATCATATGCTCTGGAAGGACAATCAAACCGATGCGTGTATGACACTCTTCACATTTTTTTCCTTTGAAAATCATGCGATAGTCACGATGTTCAAATTCAAACAATTTTGAAGCGAATTAGTTTCAGCTAAAATGCCATCAAAATTATATCAGTTCATCGCACGGCTTAGTGAATTGAGCGATTGAGCAGTGACTTCATTGTCTTGACCTATTTTTTGGCATGATCGACCGTTAAACCCCCTAAGATCAAACGTGGGTGCCCGAACAGGAGAACTTACACTTAATTTAAACCGATTCACTCGAAGTGTGCCTCAAGTCTATAGCTGGATTATTTATAAAATACCTTGCGTGTTAAAGGGAGGGATTTCAACCGTCGTTTGGCCAGAAAAAATAATTCCATCGTAAAATTTACTATAAACGCTATATATAAGAAAAAAGAAAGAATTTCATTTGATCAATGATGTCTTCGTTGTGCCAAAATTCAGAGAGGATTATTGAAAAATGTTGACCTGAATGCTCTTTAGGAATCTTAACTATCAGGGTTGCAGGAAAAAATAGGAACAAAAGAGAAAATAAATTTTCTCTCTTCCTTAAATTGAGCTACAAGATGGTCTTTCTGACGTATATAGCAAATTTTACGATGCAAGTCTTTGAGATTCGAGCATGAAAAAAACTATGGTAAGTTTCGCTTATGTTTCTACCTGATTTTGAACCACTTGCATTGATACCACCTGATACCACTGGCATCATTGATAAAAAATAGTGCTCGGGACAAGAATGATGCTTTTTGAATTGGCTGCCTAGAATTTGTGTTTCTTGTTTTAAGCTGACTTTTACAAGAATGCTAAAAATAAGCTTAGTTTTTGTAAGAAATTAGCTGAAATTAAACAGCAAAAAACAAAATTAAATGGCGCTCAGTTTTAAAAATCGTCATGCCTGAACCAAGTATCTTTTTACTTTAACGGGCTTTCATCCGTCTAAACAGAGTCGATGTATTGCGAAACTTACTATACTTATTCACCATTCGTGAACGACTTGCCGACTCGACCAAACGTTTTCCACGCAAAAGGGGGAGAAGGGGTCGGACGATCATCAGGGAACATGGCAGTAATACAGTAGCGATTCTCGTCAATTGGCAGTAATGTGTTTCCTCCATTTGAATTCGTTTAAAACATCGATTTCAGCGAGCTGAGTATTGAAATTCATAGACAAAGACATAGACGAAGGAGACAAAGAGAAAATGGAGGAGCCCTGTCAGAGTAAATGGGTGGTTTTCATAAACGAAAGAGGCAATTAATAGACTAAATAACGACAAATCACGAGGGACCATCTAGTTCGACATTTTTGCAATTAGGAACTAAAATTTCGGACTCATTTTAGAAAAAACACATGTACCATTAGTTTTTTTATGCATACAGGTGTTTTTATGCATGAACCAGAAAGTATAGTTCCTTGTTGTAAAATGCAGTCCAGCTAGCCCATTATTTTCTCCTTCACTTGAAAAAAAAAAACACATTGGATCTAGAGTCCAGACTCTTAAAAACATCGACAAGAAAAAATCCTCTTAATTCAATCAGATTTAAGCTTAAATCAAGAACCCAGCCTCTTAAATTGAGCGGATTTCCTTTTGATTTAAGCTTAAATCTGATTGAATCAAGAGTATTTTTTTCTTGTCGATGTTTTCAAGAGTCTAGACTCTAAATCCAATGTGTTTTTTTCCAGTGTTTAGTTTGTAACATCCACCCGTTTCAACCAAAAGGACTTTGTCGATCGCTTCGTCTACCGATTTCAATAATCATCCCGCAGGTGAGACTAGGAATCCATATTTCTAATAGGTTCAAATGGATGAAAAACAGAATTGCGAACTTGGAGGAATCGCGACTGGGATGAGTGCATCGCCTCTAGATCACAATTAGTATCCTCCGCTCGTGGGGGGTCCGTAGGAAGGTGCGGGTTTGGCCGCGGGGTAGCCGCCGGGGGCTCCGGCCGCGGGGTAGCCACCGCCGGGGGCGCCGCCGGAGGGGTAGCCGCCTGGCTGCTGGTCGGGGTAGGAGGCCTCGCCCTGGTAGGAGACGTCAGCGTTGAAGCCGTTCTTCCAGTCGGCGGTGTACTTGACGATCTGGAGCCGGCCGTCGGGGAGCTGGACGCGGTACTCGCCGCGGACCACGTCGCCGTCGCTGATGGCGTTGTGGGCGAAGTCCGTGCCGTAGTAGTCGTCTTTCACGGCGTAGTTGAAGTCGAATGGCATGCCGGGCTCATGGTGGTGCTCGTGCTGAAACACAAACCGTGATATCTTAAAATTTTGTCGATCGATTTTTTTTACAATAGGTAAACGAAAGTAGATGGCATGAGGAAAACTGGGATAATCTACGTGGAATACCTAGATCAACGGTGTCAGTGGGCAATCACATAACTCGGTTTGCGACGTCGCAGACTTCCTGTCATCCTCTATTTTTTAAACGGAAAACTACTCAACGGCAATTCTTTAAAACTGCCGTGATTTTTTTTTTCTCTGTGCCAAGAAAATTCTGCAAAAACTTCAAGGAATGATGCCAATTTGTTCTAAAGAATACCATAGGGGTGGAGATTTTCAAACACCGCAAACGAGATATGTGATTACGGACTTACGCCGGCGAGATACTAAAGAGTATGGACTTATCGAAATGTAGAGCTCTTGGGGTCGAGGGAGTTTACCGGAGACTTAAACGCTGGCGTAGGAAAATGGAGGATTTAAATTCGGCATGGAGGAGGAAGTTGGGGGGATGTCTTCTTCAGCCCAGCAATAGTAGGTTACATTTTGCGAGAGATTAGCCAAGATTTTGAGATTTGCCACATGCTTAGTCTTTAAAATAGAACAACAAAACTGCTCTCAAATTTATGAAAAACTTTTACAGCATAGGCTGTGATGAACGTCAGGTTTAGAGTCCAGTTCCATATAAATTCCTTATGCATAGATGGAGTTGCATATTCCAAATAAGTCATTTCATCATTGTAAGGGACTTTGAGTGTCAAGAAGGTAATATCTAGACCACAGAAATGGCGATCCCACTGTTTATTGAGCCCTGTCCCCAAAAACAGAAGAAAAGAAAACTTATATGGACAGCAAGAATTTTCGACATCGCGTCCTGTTAAGTGACTTTAGTTTCATCAGCTTTTAGAATGAGTTTTGTCTAACATGACCTGAAATTTCTCAACCCTCTCATGGCGAGCCAGAAATTAAAATATCAACTGAATTACTGGGTAAGACTAAATTCTCGGTTTAAAATCCTGCAGCAAAAGTCTCACAACTGCAGGCAACGCGGCAAGCGTGTTTTCTCGGTCAGATTAGAGCCGCTCGAATTAAAGTGCAACCGGCAATTAAATGAAGATAGCTGTTTGCCGACTTGAGTTTACGAAACCCGTGTTGGGAAAGTTGTGAACTTGAGGCGTATTTTGGTTTTCGCACTCCTTGGAATCTCCGCTACTGAACCACCAGTAATGAACACGTAACTATAATCACTATATTTATGAACGACGGCTTTTCGTGTGTAATCGATGCAGTCTTCTAATTAAAAACAGACGATAACAAGGGGCCTCTGTAGAAATCAAGAAAAATACGGTTTTTAATTAAGAAATTGTGTGCTTATTTGAGGTGTTTATGGTGAAGCGATAATAGCTTAATAGTTCTAAGTTAAAAGTGAATTAAATTTAAAATCAACCCGAATAGAGTTTTTGAAATGCAGAAAAATTAAATCTAAAATGTTCAACTTTGCATTTCATCAAAAAACTTTCATGTCTGGAAAAAAAAGTTTTCTTCCGTCGAGGCTATTGCATCAACCCTCTTATCGATCTGTAGAGCAAAAGAGCAAACATAGTCCAATTCCAAAACAAAATGTTTTTATTCTTTCAGGTGTCTTAAGTAATCAGATTTTACTGTGAAATGGAAACACCATGACGCAACATCTTGCTACTTAAAAACGTCCCATAACTTCGATTTCACCGTTTAAATATACCCGCGTCTATGAATTCTCTCTCCAAATATTTGCACCTTTCATTCGTAAAATCCACTTGTAGGATCCTGCGTGCATTTTTATTTCCGATGAATATCTCAAATTTACAGCGTTATGCCGTTGAATATCGTATAAAATGCCGCTAACTTTTGTGTCATTTGTTAGTTTGTAAGACATTCAATCTGCCGTTTTCAGCTCGTGTTATTTTTAAATTTTTCAGTTTATAATAGATGTAAAGGGGAAAAGATCCTACAGTATAATGGTACTGTTAACCAGGTTTCAATATTTGCATCTACACGAAGGCGACTACGCTGAGAAAATCGAGTCATCGTTGTCATTCTACCTTTTTCTCACTAGGAAATCTATAATGGCATCTGCAACAAAATCCTAATTTGGCAATAATGCAGAGCTCCGTTTCTCTGGGAAACGGGAACGGCCTATCAGTGAAAACACTCTGCGAGGATCCAGAAAATGAGCTGGTATCGCAACGGGCGTTCCAAAGCCGCGCATCGCACAATAGGACATCCTGAAAGAGATCCCGACCTCGAAATTTCATAATATCTAGATTGTTGGTGGCAGTGCGCTTGAAAACTGCAGAGATGATTGAAAATCATTGCCAAACTACGTAGTTGCGTGGTCTTGCAAATTTCCACGTAAAGTTGAAATAGTTGAGTCAGATCTATTCAATCTCAGTAGCGTTAATTGAAATATGAGTTCAGTATTCCATGGAAAATTGTGGCTTTTGAAGTAACAATATATTTCACGAGCATGGAGTCTTAGAATTGAATCACAGTTTTGTTAAATTAATTTGTTTTAAAATATTAAAGAAGGTAAAACACTGGAAATTATTTTGGATTGTTCCTAATTTTCCAATTTAGAGTACAATTTGTTTTCAAATCACCGTAACGTTTTTATTTTTGACATTTACCGTGTTCGGGGTCCGTGATTAGGAATTTTTCCCACTGCTGTGGTTATTTAGCACGAGCTTGACGAATAGCGCAACATACGCATTGCGCTCATTTCTGCACCAGCAAGAAAAACCTAGGCGCCTTCAGTTTTTTTACATGCTACACGCGCATCCAAGGAGCACGAATAGTTGCATCAAGGCGCTGTGATGAACTTTGCCTCCTTTTACGCATCCGTTGGCTGTAAAACTAAGGGAAACGCAGAACAATCCGAGAACGAAGTTTAAATGACCAAACCCTGGATCTTGATTTGTGACTTTACAAATCACCTGTTACATATTACTATCCAAAATATGCCTTACTACAGTTTTTCTCAACACGCCGTTTATTCCTCTTGGTTTTTAAGGATATTTCCTAAAAGTTGTACGTAAAATCTATCTAAATGGCACTCAATTTTTTTTCACAAAACACAATTTTTGACAAAATATAGCATTTTGAATATTCATTGATATGACAAATGAGAAATTTGGGACCGATTTAGAAGAAACGTTCATATCGTGGTTCATCTCCCCTCGAAAAATCGAGATGCCAAATTTTCTATATAGCTGGGTAGTAAGGTACAATACTGCCTACCTGCAAACTGACGGATTGACAAAGACGAAGAAAAAACATCGCCATTTTTGCAATTTTTAGGCTTGATTTGCATTTTTTGTATACATTAAAGTGGCTCTACAGCGCTTTGATGCGGAATTGTAGAACACTAAAAACATCAGCTGGTGTATTTTATATTCGAAAAAACGACAAAATTGTTAACTCATTTACCCTAAAATTTTTAGTTAGGTGGTATTGCTCCTTAGCCATCGACATAATGTTCTCTGCCTCAGAGAGACATTAAATACATCAGCTTGCGTATTTTATACTGTAGAATGCGACAAAATTGCTAACTTGTTTTCCCTAAAAGCGTCAGTTAGGTGGTATTGGTTCTTAGCCAGCGACATACTGTTTTCTATCTCAGAGAGTCATTTTAGTTCATCCCACGTGGCAAAATTTGCCCCTCAGTAGACCGCGTATTATCCGGTCGTGGGTAATCGAGACGCGTTACATAGATGAAGACGGATGGCTTGTCATGTGGCCGAGAGAACGCGCGGCGAATCCACAGTGCGGTGTTGATCTCGTCACCCATCACGCGTCCCACGCAAGGTTAATTAACCTTGAACCGTGCGTCATAAAAGCTCCGAATTCAGGAGAGCGGAATCCTAGTAGGCCGTCTCGTCGGCGCATCCAGACGCCCCGCGCGCGCCGCCAAGACCCAGCGTTGCCAAATTAGGCCTCTAGAATCGCAGATAATGATCTCTCTTCAATTCCTGTCGCTGGAGCAGTTTGTGAAAAACTTTCATAAACGGGTCAGTAGCACTGGAAAAAAAATACATTGGATCTAGAGTCCAGACTCTTAAAAACATCGACAAGAAAAAATACTCTTGATTCAATCAGATTTAAGCTTAAATCAAGAACCAAGCCTCTTGATTTGAGCGGATTTCCTTTTGATTTAAGCTTAAGTCTAATTGAATCAAGAGTCTTTTTTCTTATCAAATGTTTTCAAGAGTCTGAACTCTAGATCCAATGTGTTTTTTTTTCCAGTGAGCGCTTATCGTGAGCGGTTATCATACTGAGTAATATGAAACCGCATGAATAACGCGTAACGCATAAGGCTTTAGGCCCGAAGCGTTTTGGGAGGTTTAGGGTGCGTACCCCCTAACTATAAAATAATTCCCTATCTGTCAAAGTTTAAAGTTCATTGCCGAATTCTAGATAGCAATTCCCGGAGACTTAAACGCAAGGGTAGAAAAAAAGGAGCAATGTCTTAGGAGTGGAACATTCTCGGAAATTACTCCACTGTGGTTCTATTTGCAATTGGCTGGTAGTGCTATTCAAAGATTCATGGTGTGATAGTTTACTCTTCTTTATTGATCAATAAAAATAATAGGATCTGCTCAAACGCCAAGTTCGTAAGGTCCAATATTCAACGAAATACCATCTATCGGAAAACGTGGCGTACGACATAATACTCTTCGATTATGTATCCATTCGTACTTTCATCCATTTTCAATGAGTATACCACGAAACGATGAATTTACGATGTAGAAAACCGTGGTTTACGCTACCGCGATGGATAACATCATAAAGATCTTGTTTTTTGAAGAGCATTATCTCCATTAATATTGAATGCATACACTATTAGCATTTGGGCAGATCTAAATATTTTCTGCTGATCTGAACCATCAAAACGTGATTCTCTGACTAGCGTAACTGACTCATTTGTGGACCGTTTTTAAGAATAAACAAGTGTAGAATAAACAATTTTAAGAAACATTTTAAGA